GATTAAAAGTCTCTTTTTTGCTTAATTTCCACTGTGCTCAAAAACAAACAAAAAAGAGCAAGGTGGTTGGGTCCAGGAAGGCAGCTCTGTGTCACCACAGGAGCTCAGTGAACCGCCGGCCTCCTGCCTGTGCCGTCCCCCTCTCCCAGCAAGAGCAGGTTGTAACTTGAAACTCTGCTGTCTGTCAAAAAGCAATCATCGGAACACAAAAAAGCAGAGGAATGGACATTGATGCCTGCAGGAGACAAGTACAATCACCACGCGACGGGCGACTGGAGCTGGGACATGAGAGACACAGAAAAAGGTCACTGTGGAGAAAAACATCCTGTCTGAAATTAATACGACGAAATACCGAACAGAGAGATCAAGTCTCTGTGTCACAGGGGAATTAAGTCATTTTGATATAATTTTCAGAGAGGGCTGCCATCTAAACTTGCTATTTCAGGTTAAAGACACAAGCCAAATAAAAATAAAATTTCAGTAAAGTGTTCTTTGGAAAGTAGACACCTGGGAAGAACTCAAAAGGAAATAGTTTGATTGCTGGTGGTAAACTATTCAATTCTAAACTATTCTTCCACACAGTCACGTGTTTTAAAATCTAACAGTTGCGTATAAAAAAGGAAGGGGTTTGCTCCATTTTTAACAGAGGTGTTAATGGCAGCATTTCAAGGAATTAGGTCTCCTTCGCTGTGGTCTTAGGGCAGAATGCCTAACAGGCTCCTGCCTGAGTCAGACGGTGCGTCCGGCACACCTCCCAGCTGGGAAAGCTTCCTCATCAGGGGAAACTGGGTGCATGTACTTTTTCTATTAGAAAAGGCTCTCATAAAAAAAAAAAAAAAGAAAAGAAACAGAAATAGGAACTTTTTCTTCCATAATATTCCATTCTGAAAAAAGCAAAGGAAAATGAAAACTATGTGGTAGAAAAAAAAGCACCTCTGATCTTTTTTTGTGTGTGCAGTACACGGGCCTCTCACTGTTGTGGTCTCACCCGTTGCGGAGCACAGGCTCCGGATGTGCAGGCTCAGCGGCCATGGCTCATGGGCCCAGCCACTCAGTGGCACGTGGGACCCTCCCGGACCGGGGCTCGAACCCGTGTCCTCCGTGTCGGCAGGCGGACCCCCAACCACTGCGCCACCAGCGAAGCCCACCTCTGATATTTGAGACCACTAAGTCACCCCATCAATGTCAGAAATATTTTTCTTTTCCTTAAAAAAGTTCACTTTGATGGTAAATTGATACACATTTCCCTCAACATCTATGCACACAATATACTTTATTTACCATTGGTGTAAAACTATACATTTATTTTTACTAAATATATACTGTAGACTTTCTGGTAACGGATGAGATTAGAAATGATATTGAGTCATTTGTAATTCTCTAGCCAAATCATCCCTATGAACCACTGTCTCTCAGAAAAGCATAACTCTCAGAGGACAAAAAAACACGTGGAGCTAATCTGGGGTCATGAGGAATAAAATTAGCTAAAAACCTATATTTCCAAGGGTGGATGTTGATAGGACAGTAAAACTGATGTGGCCACATGCTTATAGGAATTACACAAAAATAAAAAAAGAGACCATAAATATTAACAAATAACTTCTAAAAAGTGACTTCGAGATATTTCATTATGAGAGAAAAGCATCAGAACAAATGGTTTTATGATGTACATTTTTAGAGTGATTATCTAAATGGAAAAGTGATTATCTAGAACTTGAAACCAGAGTTGGCAGGCTTTTTGAAATCATATACAAGTGAAAAACTGCTACTGAAAATAAGATCAGAAATGGCAATTCATTGAAACTTTCCCTGTGGCCCTTCTCCCTGTTTGATGACAGCCTCCCGACCTTAGTCTGGCATAGGAGAGAAAATGCTGCAAAACGAACACACACTGACAAATAATAACAAAAAGGAAGTAGTTCCCCAACCTCAGTAAACACTGACTCAGCTGACTCCCTTTTCCACCTGATATCTGTAGAGCTTAAGAGACACTAAATTTAAATTGTCTTAGGGTATTTCTTGGAACCTGATATAGCATTTTCAATTTTCTCTTTTCAGTAAAGACTATGTTTATCTGCCAACCTCTCCGTAGCTTTTTCTCCCACAATATTCAATATGGGGTTTTTTTTCCCATTTTATCCCTATAATGAGAGAAGGTATTTAATGGATGCTTATGAATAAAGGAATAAATTGATAATAGCACTGCATCAGTTCACAAGAGATGCTCAATATAGTATGCAAATTCAATGAATGATAGTTTGTTAACGACTTTCATCATAGAATTGTAAATGGAAAAACAATTAGCTAAGATTTAAGCAACAGTTGGTAAGCTTTCTGAAATATTAATTAAAAGGAAGATAGTTCTCAAAATAAGACCAGAAATAGTACTCAAATAGGACACAATTGGAATCCTACGCCATGACCAGTCTGACGTGATCTCCCCATTTAAGAGGTAGATATCCACTAAACTTTCATTTTCTCCCGAAACTTTAACACTTAAAAAAAAAAATTCTAAACTTTGTCCAAAATTTTTCCTCGCAGTTTTTTAAGCAATTACTATGCCATCAGCTATTCAGAAACATTTTAAGTGCACATAAGGCTGTGATCGTTTTTGTTGGGTTTGGTGACTGCGTCCTAACCCAGGAGATGCAGGGAGAGCAGACACAGCTCCCAGCCTGTCTTGTTTTCTCACCAAGACGAGATGCGAGATGCGACAGACCCGGCGGGGCGGGCTGAGGGGACGTTCGAAGGCAACTCGGAAACCTGCCTCATTACAATGGGGAGACAGAGGATAACCTACTACTTTTACTCCAATACTTTTATTTTTTTTCCAGTTTAATCGACACTGGCTTTTTCAGCAGACAGATCTGGAATTCAACCCAAAGGGCACAAGGCTTGCCTGACCAAAGCCGGGTCACCTGTTTTCTGGGTGAGGATGTTGGGGAGGAAGTGCCCATCCTCCCACTGGCTTCTGCCGCCCCAGAGGAGCAGGGAGGATCCCTGGCTCCCCATTGTGCCCCCACTGTGCCTGGCACCCTCTGCTTGAGGAACCGTCCTGCTCCCACAGTCCTGAAGCCTTGTCCGGGCGCTGTCGTCTCTCCAGCCGCTGGGTCGTGCACCCCGTCTTCCCAACAAGGTACCCCTCGGCCGCTTCCACGTCCCACACCCAGGGTGACAGTGAGGCAGGCTGCTCACATGGGCCTCACGCCTCACGAACGTGACCCGCGTTAATCCTCATGACTCTGCTGTTCACCGAGTAGTCATACATCTTAAATTTTCTGTCTACTGTGATGCTCTGACATCGTAAGTCCCGCCTGGCTGGGCAGAGACAGCCCCCCGCCAGCCAAGGGCCCAGCCAGGAGCCCGCCTGTGACCTATGTCGACAGCCCGGCCAGGCCCGGCCTCCTCTGCCTGCCCCGCCCCCGGGGAGGTGACCCTCCTCTGCCCAAAACACCCGGGCTGGGTGCCCGGCGGCTCGGGGCAGCCCTGTCACCCAAAGCCCAGCAAAATCACTAAAAGCAGCCAATCGTACGTGTTCCCCCTGCCCCGCCTGCCTTTCCTCTGGAAACCCCAGTAAAGGCCGTGGCCTCAGTCTTCCCTCCGTCCTGTCCTCCGCCCCCTGACCCCCTGGCCATCCCCCCACGTGCCTGGCATGGCCCTGCCTCTAGGACCCGAGAGCCCAACAAACCGTCCTTCCTGGGCCTGTCCTGAGCCTTCTCCGGTGGCCACTCCTGACTGACCAGCTCCTGAAAGGACACAGAACAGCCCCCACCTTATAGATGAGGCCCAAGGGTGCCAGGGAGCACCTTCACCGGTGCGCCCCTCCCCCGCCGCAACCTGCACACACCTGCACACACCTGTCACCCCGCCGCGCGACCCACCTGTCAAGCCCGGGAGAGAGACCTACTGCTGCTCCCAGCACACCTCCCGCCTCCCCCACCCCGATGGCCCCCGCCTAGCCTCAACCCTCATGTCTTCCATCCTCCCTTCGGCCGCTGGCCTCCTAGACAGATTCAGACGGACACCTGGAGGTGACGGTCCAGGGGTGCAGCTCCCGGCCACGGGCACTGACCGGCGGGGAGGGCACTAGCCCGACCTCGCTGGCTCTGCCCCGGGCGGCACCACCCCCGTGGGGCTCGTCACACACAGGGGATGGTGACAGAGGAATCAGACCTGAAGCTGGTGCGCCAAAGCCCACCTTGTCCTGCTGCTGGCCACAGGCTGAGGCTTGCCACACTCCCCAGAGGTGACAGTGACCCCACCCGGGTCCCAGGGCAGTGTGAGGCTCACCACTAGCAGTGGTCAGGAGGTAGCTGAGCCCCGGTCCCCAGTCACATCCAAGGTACGGGACCCTGCAGGCCACGTCCCCGCCTGGCTGAGCCCCCTCCCTGGTCCCTGAGTTATTCCCCATCTCCCATGCCGTGGCCTGGGCCCCTCCCCTCCAGCTCGGAGTTCCTCCCAGCACTGTGTCCACCACCCCCTCCGGCCCGGCCCATCTCTGCATTAACCCTCTCCAGGCCCTGCGGCACGCACATTCAGTCCTGGAAGATCGCTGTAAGGAAAAAGGGCTCTTGATCCGGAAGAGAAGGGATCTGCCGCATCACACTGAACACAGAAGAAAACACCGAAGTGACACTTTTGTGGATAAAGAGAGTTGGGCTCTTCCTGCAGGTCAGCGAGCGACTGCTCGTCTACCTGCTGGGGCGCCTGAGGCACGTGGCTCAACACAAAGGAAAGAGGGGTCTTCCCAACTGAGTCGGACCCCAACCAGTACCCATGGGTCTGAGACTCCAAAGGAAGCTGTGGGCAGTGTAAGTCTGAGAGTGCAATGAGGGAGAGACACACACACACGTGAACATACATGCAGACAGACACACATGCACATGCACACAGACACACACATACAGCTACACACAGATGTACGCGAGTAGCAGGGAGGGGATGACAGCAGTGTCCTCCTCCTAGCCCGGACCCCGGCCATGGATGGCCCTCAGGCTCGCCCATCTGAGAGTCCACGGCCAGTGTGGAGCGGGCCTGGAAGGGCGAGTGCCCCAGGCTCTGCTGGGGTCTGTGCATCGGGGGACAAGGCTCCACATGCTCCAAGCGGAGAAGCTGCAACAGACAGAAGCAGAGCTGGCGGACTTTCTGAAAAGGGGCGGAGGTGCCTGTTGGGAGGTGGGGGGACGCTGGACTGAGGACACCCCTCAGCAGTCAACCTCCAGCGAGATGGCCAGAGAACCTCAGTGCAGCTCCCTCCCCGCAGCGCCCTGCCGGTTTGTCCCGAGATCCCTCCTGATTCCACAGTCCCCACCGGGCGAAGCCCGTAACTCTGTGCTGGGTGCTCACCCGCTCTCCCCACCACACTCTGTGCCGGACCCACCACTGCCTGTTAACCCAGAAGCTCCCAAAGGATGCCCAAGGGACGGCCTCCAGTATAGGCCACAGGCTTCCCGGGCATCAAGGGGGAAGAGTAAAGATTTACTTCTCCCTCCAGCAGCCTTGCTGCAAAGGCAACAGCCTCCTTTCATCCCGAGGAGCTGTGCCACAAACCGCATAGGAGGCCACATCACCCAGCAGACGCCGACCTGCAGGGAAGCCTCAGAACCGCCCCCCAGGCAGCACGCCAGCCCACCGGCCTTGTGCTTTCTCACCCTGAGCTCGAGCTGAGGGGCTTTCTTCCAAGGCACGCGGTAGGGCTCCCGAGAGGAGAAGCGCTTCGCCCAGCCGCCCTCACCCTGGCCCCCAAGGCACCCCGGGCTGGACAGCTCTGGGCTTAGCAGCCCCACAGTCCCCCTCCTGCCGGGCCTCCTCCTCTGAAGCCCAGATACCCTGCAGCCCTGCAGCCGCCTCCGCCGCCCCGGCCCACGGTGCCCCGAGCGCGTCCAGCGGGGCATCTGCTCCACCGTCACTCGGCCTGCATCGGGTCCACGTCACGAGCCCCGCAGACCACGAAGACAAGAGGCGGCCCTGGTTCACACTGCAACCCGGTACAGGCGCTCAGAAGCTTTTCCGGCTAAAACCCCACCGAGTGCTCCTCGGTGTTTGTCACCCCAGCACGACTGCTCCTGCGACCTAGTTAAGAAGACGCGGAGAATGGATATTGCGTTTCTCACTTACAATGGCTGCTTGGACGCTTTCAAGACTTACTAATCCAGCCTTTCACCACGATGTTCTGAAACAGCCCAACTTTACTCGGTAACTTTGCCAGAGACCCAACAGGAAGGAGGCCTGTTTCAGGATGGATGGTGAAAAGTCGAGTCCTCTGGGTGCAGCGAGCTGAGGGCCGGGAGCAGGGTGCTGCTGCCAGGCTTGGCCAGGCCGCACCACAGGAAGGCTGGAGAGCAGGTGCTGGCGAATGAGGGCAGAGCCCCAGGCAGGAGAGGAGGCCCAGTCAGGGTGCAGGGGGTCAACCAGCCACAGGGGCCCGTGAAGGCCACAGTCAGGGCTGCCCCCGAGAACCTCACAGTTAGTCTGCAAAGCCTGCTGGCTCCACCGCCGGTGGGGGTTATAAAAAGTAGCTTGGCGACCCATCAAAATACTGTAATGCCCGCTTTGGAGCTAACATCTGACTGTTGAGGAATTGTGTCACTATGAGATGATCTGTTCTTTAAGGCTGACCAGGTGAGTCCTAACGCCTGGGGCTCAGAGCAATGGGGGAAGCCGGGCAAAGCGTTTTTCTACAAAGGAAGCCACAGACTGGGAATGTTATTTACTCTTCTCTGTATCCTGCCTTACGGAGAAATTCATTTCTTCTTCCTATTTTAAGCAAATGCTTATTAACTAGAGTTGCCACTGGGCTTTTCCTTTCAAAGGGCAAAAACACAACCATCTGTTTTAAACATACAGGAGGAAAAAAATAACCATGGCCCGAACTAATCCAAATAAAAAGAGAAACATATCTAAAACCTTCAAAACCATAAAACTCCTAGAAGAAAACATAGGGGAAAAGCTCCTTGACAACATGGGTCTCAGCAATGATTTTTTTGGATTTGACACCAAAAGCAAAGACAACAACAGCAAAAACAAACAAAAGAAACTAAAATCTTCTGCAAAGCAAATGAAACTGTCAACAAAATGAAAAGGCAACCTACTGAAGGGGAAGAAATATCTGTACACTATATATCTGGTAAGGGGCTAATACCCAAAATACAGAAAGAATCCATACAATTCAAGAGCCAAAAAACCCAAACTATCTGCATAAAAAATGGGCAGAGGAACTGAGCAGACATTTCTCCAAAGAAGACATACAGGTGGCCAACAGGTATACAAAAAGACGCTCAAGATCACTAACCATCAGGGAATTGCAAATCAAAACACAATGAGATATCACCTCACACCTGTCAGAATGGCAATCATCAAAAAGACAAGAAATAGCAAGTGTTGGTGAGGATATGGAGAAAAGGGAACTCTTTTTTTTTTTTTCGGTACGCGGGCCTCTCACTGTTGTAGCCTCTCCCGTTGCATAGCACAGGCTCCGGACGCGCAGGCTCAGCGGCCACGGCTCATGGGCCCAGCTGCTCCGTGGCATGTGGGAATCTTCCCGGACCGGGGCACGAACCCATGTCCCCTGCATCGGCAGGCAGACTCTCAACCACTGCACCACCAGGGAAGCCCAGAGAAAAGGGAACTCTTATGTACTGCTGGTGGGATGTAAATTGGTGCAGCCACTATGGAAAACAGTATGAAGTTTCCTCAAAAAATTAAAAACAGAACTACCATACAATCCAGCAATTCCACTTCTGGGTATTTATCCAAAGAGAAGAAAAACACTAACTCAAAAAGATACATGCACCCCAATGTTCACTGCAGCATTATCCACAATAGCCAAGACAAGGAAACAACCTAAGTGTCCACTGATGGATGGATGAATAAAGCAGATGTGAATACTACTCAGCCATAAAGAAGGAAATGTTTTCATTTCCAATAACACGGATGATCTTGAGGGCTTTATGCTAAGTGAAATAAGTCAAAGAAAGACAAATACTGTAAGATCTCACTTATTTGTGTAATCTAAAAAAAAAAACAATCGAAAAAAGGAGCTCACAGATACAGAGAACAGACTGATGGTTGCCAGAGGTGACTGGGGGATGGGAGAAATGGGTAAAGATGGTCAAAAGGTACAGACTTCCAGTTATAAGATAAGTAAGTCTTGGGATGTAGTTGTACAGCATGGCGACTATAGTTAACACTGCTGTATGGCGAATTTGAAAGTTGCTGAGAGACAGTAGGTCCTAAAAGTTCTCATCACAAGGAAAAGAAATTGTGTAGCTGTATGAGGTGACGGATGTTAACTTATTGGGTGGTGGTTTTGTAGTACAAAGCCCATCAAGTCACTGCGCTGTATACACACCTTAAACCCACAGTGCTATATATCAATCACATCTGGATAAAACTGGAAAAAATAGAATCTTCCCTTTTTTCATTTTAATATTAATAATTATAGGGTAATGAGAAGTTTGCCGGGCTTTCCATGAGGTGTCTGGAGTTCCCTGTATCTCTGACATTCATTCTAAGGCATGTGCCAGGTTAACCAATTAAATGTATCCATCCTGCCTTTGGTGTTGGCTAAAAATACTACCATAGCTTAATAACACTAGTTACGTGCCCAGAAACTCAGAATCCCTGCAGGTAAATGGTTTGAGAGTCAGAATCTGGGCTCTGGGAGGAGCCCCTTACAAACCCGGGTCCTCACAGCCCCCTTCCTCGCAGCCCCGGGTCCTCACAGTTCCCGTCCTCGCGGCCCCGGGTCCTCACAGTCCCCTTCCTCGCAGCCCCGGGTCCTCACAATCCCCGTCCTCGCGGCCCCGAGTCCTCAAAGTCCTCGTCCTCGCGGCCCCGGGTCCTCACAGTTCCCGTCCTCACAGCCTCCGTCCCCACAGTCCTCACAGCCCCAGGTCCCCACAGTCCTCACAGCCCCGGGTCCTCACAGTCCCCGTCCTCGCGGCCCCGGGTCCTCACAGTTCCCTTCCTCGCGGCCCCGGGTCCTCACAGTCCCCGTTCTCGCGGCCCCGGGTCCTCACAGTCCCCGTTCTCGCGGCCCCGGGTCCTCACAGTCCCCGTTCTCGCGGCCCCGGGTCCTCACAGTTCCCGTCCTCACAGCCTCCGTCCCCACAGCCCCACGTTCCCACAGTCCTCACAGTCCCGAGTCCCCACAGTCCCGAGGGCCCAGAGTCCCCGTCCCCCAAAGCTCCCGGTCCCCACCGACCCCCGATCCCTACCTACCGTGCCTCCGCAGCGCCGCCATGCCGGCCTCGCCGCCCCAGCGACCCGTGCGACCCCAGCCCAGGCCCGAGCAGCGCGACTGCACTTCCGGACTCCGTCCTTGTAGGCCCGTCCACAACAGCAGGCCTGCCCAATCAGGACCCGCGGTCTCTGCCGCTGAACGCCAATCAGCCGCACACCGGCTGCAGATTGGCTCTAACGCGCGCTGTGGGCACGGCCCGTGGGCGTTACTACTCGGAGCATGCTCAAAGGGAAGGGTGTGACCCGGCTGAGCCGACCCGGGCTGCGGAGGGGTCATGGGGCGGGGTCAGCGGGAGGGGGTCAGGGGTTAGGGGGTCATCACAAGACCGTCACCGGAAGGGGGTGGGTGGGTCAGCGAGAGGTGGTTAGTGGGTCAGCAGGAGGGGAGTTGGGGGTTAGGCGGTCACTGGGAGGAGGTCAGCGCGGGGCGGGATTGTGTTCCTGGGTGACCGCCCACAGTGTCACCCTGGGTCCCAGCGCTGCACAGGGATGCGAGCAGTGGGAGGGGTCCGCTGAGCGCCCATCGGGCCAGGGTCCTATCGTACCGCAGAAGCTGGGACTCAGAGCAGAGAGGAAACTGGGAAGAGGGGAGCCCGGGGACTGACCAGGAAGACCGCCGCCCCCTGATCCCTGTGGCACTGACCCCTTCTGCCCTCTGTGTGACAGCGGCAGGTGGATTTCTTCCCTGTGCTCCCCTCCAACCATTTCACCTTCTCTGGGACCTTGGTTTATTGTTTACCCTACTTCCTTGAATCCGTTTCTTGGAGAACATATTTCCTGAGAGCCTGTCTGTGCTGGGCCCTGCTATGGAAGCCGGGGCACCTCCTGACGGGCAGACGAACAGACAAGTCCTCGTGAGACAGAGAGCACGTCACTGTCCTCCTGCTGGGAAGGGGTTTCAGAGTGAGGAGGTGGGGGGTCAGGAAGGCCTCCTGGAAGGTAATTTGAACCAGGCTTGAGGCAGAGGGAGCAAGGCTCGGTGATGTCCAGGCAAAGAGCACTCAAAGCAGTCCAGGCCTGGAGCAGCACAGGGCCCGTGCGACAGGAGCAGCGAGCAGGGACAGTGACAGCCGCCGACAGACAGGAAAGCAGGTGGTGCTGGGCAAGTTTGCGAAGACGCGAGGCTCAGCCTTATGTTTCCCAGGCACTCAGGTGGAGGATACGGCTGGTTTTGAGCAGAGGAGTGAAATTATCTGAAGCCCATCTTGAAGGAGTGGCTTGAGCCGCTGAGCTGAGATCAGATTTGGTGGGGGAAGCAGGAGGCCAGCTCGAGCCCATCCCTGTGAGAAGGACCCTGGTGGCTAACACCAGGGTAGTGGTGGATGAGGCTGTGGGAAGAGGTGGTTGGATTTGGATATATGTGAAGACAGAGCAAAAGAGGTTTTCTGATTGACCAAGAGTGGCTTTGGCAGGAGAGAGGTGTGGCACAGCTCCAGGTTTTGGTTTGGAAGCTGGGAGGCTGGAGTGGTCCCAAGGAGATGAGAAACCTCCCTGGGGGGTGGAGGGGGGGGCGGTCATTGTTGGGTGGTGTGCAGTGCCAGGCATGTTAGGTTTGAGGTGCTCCTTAGACGTGTAAAAGTGGGCATCAATTAGGCAGCTGAATAGGATTTTAGGATTCAGGAGAAAGGACGAGGATGGAGATGTACAGCTG